AGTAAGCAGGATGGATAACATAAAGAAGTGAATGTGACTGCCTTTGTAACAAGTTTTTCTTATTCATTTTTACAATCTTGCAGGATTTAACAAGAACTTCTGCAGTGAGGCTTCTCCTGTACCAACTTACTGGTCATAGCAATTCTTCTGTGTGTTATAGTTACATATACACACACATTTGCTTATGGAACAACAAAGTGAGGTATGCTTGCCTGAATAAACCTGTGACACTTTCTGGTTTCTTGCCCACACTTCCATTACTGCTTAGGAAGGCTTCTCATACTCTGCACAAGTCTTGGAAACAAGACTCCTTCAATTATTTCCAGATCCCGCTTCATTCTTACCATTGCCCAGCTGCAGCAAACAGCTCAGCTGCACCTCTACCAAGTCCTCAGCTTTCCTCAGTTCCTTACCTCTGCCTTAGTGCTCAGGCAGCACCAGCTCCTACAGTCCTCATCTACAACAGATGCACTTATGCTTAACCCCGACTGAAAACACACCACCAAACTCTACCATTAGCTGCAAGAGTCTGTATGACCAACAAAGGCCACCGCTTGTGCCATCTTGGTAAAATCATATCTTCACTTACTTTGCCATGAAGTTGATGCAGGACAGAACATAGCTCACAGACCATGTCAAGAAACTTCTACTAATCATTTTAAATTCAGGTATGGGAGCAGAACATGAGGAACAGCCACTACTAAGTGACTAGGTGCTAAAGTGGCATACGAAATCTAGTGCTAACAAATGCAAAATTAATATGCGTGTTCCTATGTTTCTATTTTTCCCTTTGTACATGTTAAAAGACATTTCCACATGCATATTTTGAAAGGCTTTCAAAAAGCTGTTGTGACTCAAAGAAAAGCTTGTATTATTAGTCTAAAACATCAGCAGCATTTTCCCTTGGAGTGAAAAAGCTGAAAAACTGTTAAGAATTGCTATGAAGAAGTGAGGAGTGTACAAAATACTGTTAAAACAACTGTAAAACAAGAGAACTGTCAGACTTTGGCTCATGTTGACTCATACGTCTGCCATCTCCACACACCCTTCTCCCATTCTGTGTGGATCAGGCACACAACTTCCACCTCCCTTTCCCCATGCCTACCCCAAAGCATTCTCCTTATGTTTTCATCTATATCCTTCAAGTCCCAACTGTGGCTGCCTCCTCTCCCATTTCGCTCAAGGAAATCTGTGCGTGTGCCTAACATGTTGGGGAGGGTAGGTTTGTGTTGCCCAAAGAGGTGGTATCTGATGCCTGATATGTTCAAGGTCAGATTAGATGGGACTCTGAGCAACATGATCCTGTTGATGTCGTCCCTGACCATGGTAGAAGTGTTGGACTAGGTGACCTTTAGAGGTCACTTACAGTCCAAACTATTCTATGATTCTACTCCCTAACGGAGGGAGGCTCAGGGTTCAAGAAAAGAAGCGGGAGATTGGGTAGAGTTTTTCAACTGTGTGGCCTCAGGGTTTCCTTGGAAGGCTGAGCTTTGGTTAGAACTCTCATAGCCTTACAGATGTGGGCATATTCAGGACTGGGGGTAGAAAATTACTCTTCCTGCAGCTGTGCCATCTCTGGGTGATGGCACATGAAGGGGAGCAGCCCACAGCAATTGCAGCAGCCTGGCAGCTCCATTCCTGAATGTGACTCTGTAGGCCATATTTATCATTATAACTATTCAGTGACTCTAAGCTAGTTTGTACCACCAAGCAAGAGTAAGTGGGGAGCCTTTAGAAAGCAGCGGGATGCTCTTTGCCCTCACTCAGGTATCTTAGAGCAGGTCCTCATCTTCTATGTCTGTTTTCTCCCCACCACACCACTATGAAGAGGCTGGAGGGTGGGCAATTACCACAGTTGGCAGCACCTAGCATAGCTTTGGAATCTACCCCATTGTTCCCCAGGGCTCTCCCACCCATCCTTACATGGTTTCTGGGTCACAGCAGCTGATGGGCTCTGGCAGAAAAGCTGCAGCAGGCTCACTGGCAGGTTGCAGAACAGACAGAGGCCAGTGACTGCAAAGGGGCTGCAGCAGCACCGAGAAGGTCCAACAGCACAAATCACAAATTCAGATCAGTCTGCCAGCCTGTGCATGGCATGTAGAGTTAGGAAGGATGGCATCTTGCGGTGACCAAGCTCTGTTTGCTCTAAGGGAGATGTTGCTTTCAATGAGTTGGGAAATGGGAAGAAGGTGCAGATCCCCAGACATGAGACATCAGATGTCACCTGGCAGGCCAAGGCATTTTACACATAGCAGGACTGCTTTTACCCTCTTACATGTTGTTTAAAATAATGAACTCATGCAGACTCTATTATAAGAATATTCATTCATGGCTAGGCTTTGCAAGTGAAGATTTGGGAAGGGCTCTACCCACGTTTGTTACAAGCGTGCTGGTGGCTAAAAAGGCCAATATGAGATAGACATATCCAATTGCAAAAGGCACAGCAGAAAGACTCCTCAGGTGGAATATTCTGCAAGAGATGATTCTTTCTGCGTTGTCTTTTCTCCTCAAGGGTGATCCTGCGTGCGTTCTCAAAAGAAGTAGCAGCGTTATAGATGGTGTGTCTCCAGACCTCCCAGTTGGAGGCTAGAGTAGACCAGTTATGTTGATCAATATGGCCAAGGCTGAGATGTTGTTTCAGGGAGTCCTTGTATCTCCTCTTTGGGGCTTCTCTCTTGTGGCAGCCAGTGGCAAGTTCACCATAAAGCAAGATCTTAGGGAGGCGGTGGTCCTTCATCCTGGAGACGTGCCCTGTCCAACACAGCTGTGTTCTCAGCAACATGGCCTCTATACTTGTGACTGCTGCTTGTTCTAGAACAGGTGTATTGGTCACATAATCTGACCAGTGGATATTTAGGATTGTACGGGCAGTGTTGATGGAAGTGTTCTAAGAGTTGCAGGCGGTGGTGGTGGTAGATGACCCATGATTCAGATCCATATAAAAGAGTAGACAGCACTATGGCTCTGTAAACACTGATCTTTGTACTTTTCTTCAAGTGTTTACTTCGCCAAACTCTTTTATGGAGTTTTCCTAAAGCACCATATGTCTTTGCCAACCTGTTGTCTATCTCTCTGTCAATCTTACCATCCGAGGAGATGAGGCTGCCTAGGTAATTAAACTGCTGGACTGATTTGAGCTATGCTTGGCCAATGGTGATGTGGGGATGATGGAAGACTTCCTGAGGTGCAGGTTGATAGAGAACTTCTGTCTTCTTTAAGCTGACTTCCAGCCCAAAGAGCTCATCAGTGTCTGCAAAGCAGGATGTTAAACGCTGCAGAGCTGCTTCTGTGTGGGCAACAAGGGCGGCGTCATCAGCATAAAGCAGCTCCCGGACAAGGTCTTAGTGTGGGCCTTCAGTCGCCTTAGGCTGAATAGGCTTCCATCAGTACGGTATCAAATGTAGATACCATCTTGATCATATACCCCTAGAGAAGCCTCTGTTCTTAATAGTTACTAAAACCACAGTTCAGGAAAGCTCTTAATACATGGTGAATTTTGGACACAAATCTAAGAAATTGTATTTTGGCGCCTTGCAAGACACAGCTTTCCTTAGGTGCCACTAGTAATGAACAAGTGTGGCTTAAAGTGTGACATGCAGTGAAACACACAGTTCTGCCACCAAACACCCACTGGCATTTCTGGCAGCCTTCCTCAGCACCTCTCCCTGCTACACTTCATTAGTTTTGTTCTAGAAAAAAGCACAGCCATTCATTGCTCCATGATCCTGGTCTCAGCTTTCTAGTTTGAATTGTCCAGCCTCCAAAGAGAAGCAGGATAAAAGGCAAATTCCCAGTTTATGCCAAAAACTTACTTTATTAAATAGAATTTTAAACCACTCCTTTTCTACGCAATAAACTATACATTGAACTCTTGTGATTCAGTTCACAAAATAATAAAGATATTGAAAAAAGTAAGCTGTTGGCAATTAGTAATGACCACACTGAAGCTTGAATCACTGCAATGGGGCTTCCTGCTATATAGGTTTTGAAGCTTCTATAGGTTTTGAAACAGCCATCACTTACCAAATTTTATACAGTGTCAGCAGAAACTGAAATTATTTATTAGTGCTTGCAAAAATAATCTGCCTGTGCTGTGTTCTAACAAATTAAAACCAGTAGTGTTTTTAGTCGTTTTGAAGTCACTAGGTAAAGTCAGTAAGGTGTTCTGAAATGAGCCGAAAAAAAATTCCACATTTTCCTTTCAGGTGGCCCCATCTTTGCCTCAACCTGTTAAGCACCATCCTTCAGACAAAAAATGATGGCAGATATGTTGTCCAGAGAAGGTTAAGGCAGGTCATGGCAGGAGAGACCCATGCACATCACTTCCAGCCTGGCAGGGCAGGGCAGTGCATGGTTGTTCCCTGTACAGACCCAACTACTGCTCATCACATAAATACTAAAAATAAAATTTAATTAGAAGTTTGATCTAGTAACATGATTTTGTGGCAGATGACAAAGGTAAGGGAGGTATTAACCAAGGAAATGTAAAAGAGGTATTAACTAAGGATGTCCTTATATAACCTCTACCTGGATCTCATCCTACTATGATTTCAGGAATAGTTTAAGTTTAAGCAGTTGTAACCAAATAATGTAAAAGGCTGTAGCTGCAGCCTTTCTAATGTATCAGTTCTGAGCAGAACAAAGATGACAAGTATAATATCCTCCTTGCCCTCAAGGCTTCTCTTTGGACTGACATTCTTCTTGTGCAGTGGTCTGAAGCGCTTGCCATGGTAATAAAATGGGGAAAAGAAAACAAAAGAATAAAAAAAATCCTGTAAAAATGCAATGCAAACTTCCTCCCACCTATCACTCTTCTCCTGTATGGCTTAAGGAAGAAAATTTATTATACACACAGCATAATAACCCCAGAATAGAGCAGCTAGATTATTTCCCTCCTCTATGGGAAAGAGCAGATGGAGGGAGAAAAACAAATACTGCACGTTGAGATGAGTTGTCTCAATCCTGTCAGGTGAAAGGAAAGGCTATGTATGAACAGCAAATATGTAAAACAGGAAACATTTAATGTTTTTCTTTGTCATGTATAAACAAAATACTTTAAAAAAGTGAGTAAAAGAGTGCCAAATGTTCAGCTTTATCATTGCACTCCAACTGATTAACTGGTCACTCACCAAATGCAGGCTAGATGAACTCGGTGTCACTTCTGAGACTACAAAGGCATTGTGAGGACAAAGCAGCACATATATAAAACTACTATATAGAAACAAGAATCATATTGTAAGAAATATTCACATGGTTTCATATAGAGAGAATAAATTTAAGGATGTAGTCTTTGAGAATTAGATACAACGTCTGGATAAGGTTGAAGTCCTAGCTGTTTGTTATCTTTCAACTTTTGTACTATAATTCTGGCAAATTCCTCTCCTTGGCTGTCTGAAGTATCAAGCAGTTGTCGTACTTTTGATGTCCTTGTAGGTTTGGTGCTTATAAGTTCATAATCTTCTTTCATGAGTAAAAATCTTGCTAGAAGAGCATCCAGTGATTGATTCAAACATGCTTCAGTCATCTGATCAATAATTTCTTCTCTTTTACTTTGGATCCACTGATGAGCTACATTCTGCTGTATGGTTTCCAATACAAAATCTGAGATTGGAGAGGATTAAAAAAAAAAAGGGATTGTAACTGTCTGTCAATAAATGTTGCCATAGAACAAAGAACAAGCTGAGAAAGAGCTGCTAAAATGCTCCAATTTGTCAAATTTGGTAGTTAGAGTATCTTTTCTATCTGAATCACAGAATAATTTAGGTTGGAAGGAACCCTCAAGGAGGTCATCTGGTCTAATAGCCTGCTCAAAGCTGGACCAACTTCAAGCATAACTCAGGTTGCTCAGGGCCTTGTCCAGCTGAATTTTGAGCATCTCCAAGTGATGGTACTTCTGCAGCCTCCATGGGCAACCTGTTCCAGTGTTCAACCCGACCTGGTACTAAAAAGAGAGAGGTGGTAAATTCACTTTCCAGGGGGATTTTTATTGAAGTTTACTGAAAACATCCCTGTAGCTTCCTGGTATTTTCCTCAAGATGAGGATTCACACAGTGAAAAGGTGTAGATTCTCCTATTTCCAGAAGAGGGTGATGCAACAAATCTTTATAAAATTGCATGTTATTGTGTGTTCCCTCAAAAATATGTATTTCTGAATAAATCATCATGCATTAAAGTTTCTTTTTGTTAACTTTTTTGGAAGCACACTTTTAACAGTTATTTGATGGATAGGAATATAATGTAGTGGGCTCTTGACTAACACAGAAGATGTTAGTAGAGATTCTGTGTGAGATGCTGACACAGCTTCTGCTTTCTCTTTGCCTCACCATTACTGAACAGAAGACTGACAAGCTTAAAAAGTGAGAAGCGACAGGCAACAAAGATGACTAGTTCAAGCTAAGTTTTTTTCCTGTTCTGCTGGACTGCAGCATTGTTACAGCAGTAGGGGGATAGGATAAATAATATGAGCAAAGGGAATGGGATAAAGAAGACCCATGGCAGCAGGAATTAAGTCTGCTTAAAAGGAAAGAAAAAAGCTAGGACCTACAGGTACGTGTACTTGGTCACATTTTACATTGGTTTTGCTTACTTTGTACTCTAAGTCTACAAGGACAGAATTACTTGTATTCTTAATTTGCAGATACTTTGTTTTCATTTTACAGATGTATAACAGTTACAGTTTCCATTTCATACACAGATATATTTGATGTTAGAACACTTATTGTGGGTCTTGGAATGAAACAGTGTTTGCCATACCTGAAGGAATCAGTGGTGACTGCAGTATACACGATGCAGACTTCGAGGCATCTGAAATACTCCTGTCAGATGAAGGAACATTACTTGTGCATGGATGCACAAGAAGTTTGGCACTCTGAGTTACAGAGATATTGTCATCCGTGCTCTGGCTGCTGAGAGAGTATAGACACCCAGAATTTCCATCTTGGAAAAAAAAAAGGAGAAAAAAAAAGAGCAAGATGTATTGCTTCTATGTTCAAATAAAATAAAGCCATCAGAGATTATTTAGAGCAATTCCATAAAACAACTCATAAACAAACTACTTTCACAAGATATACAACATATTAGTCCTTATATTCAAGTTCTGAGTACATTTATGTCCCTTACATTGTACCAGGGCTTGACCATGGGTTTGGGGGTCCTGTTTTATTTTAAAGAAACATCGAGAGTATAAATCTAGTAGATGTGAACTTTGATGAAAAAGCTCTGTGTGACAGAAATTTTTTGTAGGGACTAGATGAACAAAATAAATCCTTTGAGTATATGGAGAGGTAACTAGAAGTCAGTGTGAAAGCAGATTCATTTATTTTGATGAAGTTTGGCAGCACAACGAAGGTGATAACATTAAAAGAAAGATTCAGGTGAAGGAAAAGGACATGAGGAGCAATGTTAACATTCAGTGGGAGGCCAATGGAAGCTTTTTGTAGTCCATTAAAACATGATATGACTTCAAGAAAGCTTCATGTAAACTTTTGCAAATAAAGAGAAAAAGTATTTCTATCGGCTGGGAAGCTTAATAGTTTCTAGTTTTAGGATTTTTTATTATAGAAAAGGATGATGGATATGAAAGCAGCAGTAGGAATGACTCACGGAAGAGATAACAAACAGCTGATGAGAAACATACTACAGGACATATGCCTAATTCTGTAAACAGTTTTCATTACAGACTTTCACAGTGTCACTTGATAAAGAGATGTTAACTAAGAACCAGAGATGCAGATATAAGAATTCAGATGAACATCTAAAGACAAAATGAGGTAGCCCCATGGACAACTCGGGATTACCTGTCCAATGGGGGAATCTGAAGGTGTATTCCCAGTTCACTGTTGACCTGTAGAAGAATATGTCTATAAGTACATGGAGCAGGAATAGGAAAATGTGGAAGAAATTACATTCTAAGTATTTTAAAAATAGTGGACTAGAACTCACAGTAACTAGTATTTTATTTCAAGAACAAGAGAGAAAGTTGGGCAGAGCCATGTAGTGTGAAGCAGCAGATATTATCTACTGCATGAATGAGAAAGAATTAGGAGACAACTACTGTGAGTGAAAGATGTTTTAAGAGATGTGTTTTAAGCAGCTCTGCTGGGATAGATTGTTATAGATCCTTAGGCACACAAGTTTAATTTAATAACATAAAGATAAAACTACTGGGATTTTACTGATATGAATGACCTTGACTAGTGATCACAGCATAAAAAGTATAATCATAAAATCACAGAATTGTTTAAGTTGGAAAGAACTTAAGATCATCGAGTCCAACCATTAACCCAGCACTGCCAAGTCCACCATTACATCATGTCCCTTAGTGTCACATCTACATGTCTTTTGAATATCTTCAGGGTTGCTGACTCAACCACTTGCCTGGGCAGCCTGTTCCAATGCTTGATAACCCTTTCTGTGAATAATTTTTTCCTAATATCCAATCTAAACCTCCCATGGCGCAACTCAAGGCCATTTCCTCTCATCCTATTGCTTGTTAATATTGTTTGTTGGTAAGAGACTGACCCCCACCTGGCTCCAACCTCCTTTCAGGTAGTCGTAGGGAGCAATAAGGTCTCCCCTGAGCCTCCCTTTCTCCAGGCTAAACAACTCCAGCTCCCTCAAAGAGAAACATGCTAATGGGATTTATTCAGATGTTATTCAGAAAAAAATCAGGTTGACACAAGTTACTCAGAAAGAACCTAGTTGACCTAGAAGACTGAAATGATAGAAGTGGAAATTCAGAAGAAAAATACGAGATCTAAATTTTCTGCTTCAAGCAGGTCTAATGACTGGAAGTGAGATGAGGAAAAAAGCCCCTAGGTAGATTATTCTGTAACGAGGGGTCTTGTGAGGAAGGAAAAATACAATTCTAAGGTATACTGAGTAGAGTGTTTTTTTAAGGCAAAGAACCATTTGTCAAGTCTTTCATAGTAGTAAGTAGAGGTCTGGTAGTCTTATTTTAATGACTCAAGTTAGAATATGCACAAGGAGGACTAGTAACATACCAGGAGAATAAAGAAGCATATTTTACAAAGGAACTTCAAAAGTTCACCTAGTAAAACAAAATATATGAAAGGATTACTCTCTAAATCAGAAATGAAATGGGAAGAGGGAAAAAAGCTGTTTAAACTTAAAGAAATTCTCAAGAAAAGCTTGCTACAGAACGGAAAAAACCCCTTTTTTATGCCCATACTTTACAGCACTGAAGTAAATTTTTTGCCTGCTTTCACATTACTGGTCCCCGCAAAGCCAGAGGATACTCCATTCTTTTGAAATATGTTTGCATTCCACCAAGGGAATAAACTTAAATGCAGTTTTAGTTTCACAACATATTGCTACTCCACCTGGGTCCCATTGCATTTTTCTGGCTTCTCATGTCAGCAAAACTTCAAAATTGAGTTTTCTGAGGGAGTTTTGCCAACTTTTATTCAGAAAAGGGGACAGCTACAAAAGGTCTGCGCAAGTCTTGCAACTTTTGCAAGGTAATCTATTAAAGCCATTTTTATTTATTGAATTAAAAATGATCTAGAGGTTGAGCTGCACTGGAAACTTTGAGTTTACTCAGCTTCAAAAATGCCTCAAAATGTGTAGCCTTTTTATATTTAGAAGTAGTTCACAGATTAAAAAAAAAAAAAAGGCAGTTAACTAAGCCACCAAGAGTTTTAAGGGACAATTAAGGGACAAGTGAATGTTATCTCTGACCTAACAACCCAGAGCAGGAAAACTAAAGCTGTCAGCTGTGGAGATTTCTCAGTGACAGGAACAGAAAATCAGAGCTTAAAACCTCTAGTTTACTCAAAGCACTAAGTTTAAAAAACACATTATTTTCCGACATAAACAGAGACCCAATTTCCTACTATGTAAATGCAATGTCACAGTGGGAGTGTAAAGCTGCAATGGCAACTTAAATTTACACAAAGTCAAGAGTATCTCACCTGATGAAAGGATATTACACTGTGGGATAGACTTGAGTGTTGATATATCTGGAGAGATGCTCCGAAGGGGAAGTGCATCACATTGTATGGAGCCAGAATATGTTTCCTGAAATAAATCCAGGTGTATATTGAACATGCATGTTAAATAAATATGAAGCTGCAATTTTTTTACAGAGAATTTCACCATCGCTGTGTTCCCCTGCTATCTAAATGCTCAACAGACAACACAAATTAAAAAAACTAAATCTAAAGAAATCATATAATCCTAATACTTGTATTTTTCCCAAGGTGATAGCAATTTTGTATACAAGTTTAAATACCAGCAAGAACCAAAAGCAGAAGCATTAAGGATCAAAATAGCCCTATATGGCTATGTATTTGTTACACTCTGACTCAAGTGATGAATTTTATGCCTTTCCTGACTGCACAGGAAAATAAAGTGCAGAACAACTCCCCTTACTAAGTTAACCCTTCCTTAAGCTCACAGGATCCTGACGTACCAAATGCAACATGTAAAATATTTACCTTTTGGGGATTCAGAGGTATATTTAGAGAAATCTGCTCCACATTTGCTTTCTTTCCACTCTTGTAAATACCTTGTGATTCATATAGTGACTGGAAGAGACATTTACCCGTATTAAATTTCTGCTATAAGACAAGATGACAGTTCTGTTCAAACACATGCTTAAACCAGATACAAGATTAGATACATGACAAATGAGATCACATTTCTTTTAGCAAGTAAAAGTTACCAACTTATTTGACCAATTCAAAACTGTAACAAAAGCTACTTACCTTTGATCTCTTTAACAGAATTACTGCTTCCAGCATAGCTATTTCATCAAATGTCCGCAGAACTGGCTCAATGTCTATTAAACATTCTAAACAAAGAAAGAGTACTTTGTGAATGGTTTGAAGTGGAAATCAAGTTATCATTTTGCTAAAGCATCTTTCTTACATTTACAAAAATAACGTGTCTATTGACATATATCAAACCACATGCTGCTAAACAGAAGTTTCCTGCTCCCACATGTTAAAACAGTTCACACCACTAAAAGAAACCCTGTCCTGATCTAGCCACCTCATCATTCTGTAACAAAAGAGATCCAGGATAGTGCTGCAACTCTTGCATTCCTGGAATGGACAGAGATCCAGGACAGTGCTGCAACTCTTGCATTCCTGGAATGGACAGATTGGTGACTTTGCTGTGTTTCAAGGTAGACCCATCAAGCCTGATTAGCTGAATGGGACCAAACACCATGAGACCTCAGAGTGGGTTGCTGATTTCCCACTCCAGAAGAGGTGTTAAAAATTTATACAAGGAAAATAAACACACCCCCAACACAGCACTATCCAGAATACATGCTGTGAGGCAGGGCCAGAGAGGATGGCATAGTCAAGGCACTATCACATCCAGTGAAACCAAATGATATTGCTCTCATTCTCACCAAATGCAGCAAGCCAGAGAAGCTAAAATCATCTGCTCACAGAGGGAGGTACAGGACAGTACAATAAGGAAATGACCACATGCGCTCTTGCTTCCAAAAGTTTATAATACTAAATATTAAACAGTTTGAGATGACTATATTATAAAAATATCTTTGAAACTGTGCTCAAATACAACAAAACCTCAGGATAGGATGATATGTATCAGAATTCTACTGCATTTCCATGAACTCACTGATTCAGCAGAACTCATTTATCATACTAACAACCTGTCACACTGCACCCTTGTTAACATATTTTTACTTTTTACTATAATTTTACCACTCTTCTTCCCTATTAACTTTTATCCACTAGCATCTTCAAGACATACATTCAATACTGGGATTCTTATTTTCTTGTATCAGCTAAACCACAGTTTTAAAGGTATATCATTTTCCACACTCAAATACTAGTATTGTTAATTTTTGTTGCCTATAATTTTGACTATAATTAAATTGTGGGGACACACTCCAAGTATACATGGAGCGATGGTGATAAGCAGTCTTTATCCTCTATTTCTAAGGAACAGACAGGTTAGCTGAGCTTTTCTATTTAAAGCTTATTTTTAAAAAAGGGGGTTTGGGTGTTTTTGTGTGTGTGTCTGTGTCCTTGTCCTATGGTAATTGCAAAATTTCCCCATTAGTGAGCTTTACTTCCCTTAACTTTGCAACAGTTTTGTAACTTCCTCTTTCTTTTTACGATAGTAGAGGAAAAGCAATGCACGTTTTTTTTCAAAGACCATCTTACTACAGGCATGGCACTAATAACTGAAACCAAGTTTGGTCACACTGTAGTACATATCCCAGGTAATTATCCCTTCAGTGTGACCACAGACTTTATTTTTTTTTTTTGTTAATTGGCAGAGGAAAGCAAGAACACATACAGAAATACGATTATGAGTCTATTCTTTTTGATTTTAGAAAATATTCTAAATAGATATATTTTCTTGCTTGAAAAAAATAAAATATATACCCACAATTTACACACAAATCAGACTCCAACACAATCTGGCATTTCAAAATGTTCTTAAGGCAAAAATAAAAATGCCTCAAAAAATCATGTAATTCATTTTGGACTGTAAACTCAACATGAAGACATTGTATGTGTTTGGATGTTTCCCATTTTGTCCTCTGCTAAATGGATGCAAAAACCCAAAGTTATGAACTCAACATATGAACCCAACCCAAACATGCCCCCTCCCCTATCCCCATCAAATCAAACCCTAAAAGCAAAAAGCATCAACTAAAAAACCCTGGCATTTGAGTAACTGCATCTTTGAGCAACAGATCTCTGTACTGTTCTATGTTTGAATATTTTCAGTAAATCCCTTACTCTACATTTTAGTCTCTCCAAGGCAACACAGCTTTCCATACTGAATTAGAATCACATCTTCTAAAGGGGCAGGCTGAAAGTTTGTAAAGCTCATGCAAATTAAACAAGCACAGCGAGGCAGCTGCAGGAACCACTGTTCACTTCACCACCCTGACATATGTGACCACAGCAACAGTCGCAAGAGCAAATTTCACAACTGAAAACAGGTAATCCCTCTCTGCCAATTTTGATGGAATTACCTTTATGCAAGTAAAGTGTGCTGGTTAAGTTGAAACACAGGCTTTCAGAAATAAAACCACAACTTTTCCAGTTCACACTCTGCCACTCTAATCTCTACAAGCTCACACTTCAGTCTTATTCTCTAAATTCTGCAAACCATTGTAAAAAAGGCTGAATGTAGCTGTATTTGGTTTCATGGACAAAAAGCTGAACATAGAAAAGATGAAAAGTTTAGTTCTTGTTTGATAAAGGAGGTGGAACAATCAAAGATAAAGTCTCAGTGAAAAAGATTTATACTGAGATGCAAACACAAGATGAAGTTACTATGGTTTATCTGATGTGCAATGGTTTGTTGGTGTGTTCGCCAGCTTGCTTGTAAATCCCACAGTACTCATTCTGTACTTACTTCCCACACCTTAAGAAACCAAAATCCTCTTCCAACAACAAACAAAAAAACCCAAACACAAGTAGTCAAACAAAACATACTGCTTTTTTACAGTTAAATTAAGAGATGGTAAATGCAAAAGACTTCAACAAACAACATGGTTTTATGGCACACATGTAATTCCGTTCATAAAAGTTTCTTTACATACATGATGGAAGCAGCCAAGACCCTTATCATAAGCAGCAAGACCAAGCATGTATATCTCTTCATGTCCTTACCATTTCCCTTTTGCTACTATAACCTTGGTCTGTAATAACCATGTCCAACAGAAATCTCGTAATTTAAAAATCTTTTCTCATTACGCAAAGCAAACTCACTTAAGAATGATGGTCTTTCATCTGGGTTTTGTGCCCATCCACTTTCCATCAGTCTTATGATGAGCACTCGATGAGGAATGTCCATTGATAAACTTTCTTCACTTAAGTCTAGTCGTTGTCCTTGTGACACGCTGTACATTATCTGCAAGGGGTTTATAACTTCTGTCAAAACAGATATCATGCAGTCATTAGAAATACATGCAAAATAAACAGCTTACTACAGGAGGAATAATTCAGTTTGCAGATATAGTATTTACAGTTCATCAAAATAAGTTCATGTTTCTTTTTTTAAAAAAATGTATTTTTAATTTATAAAACAACACCGTAATAAAAAAACCCACAATACCAAGAGTCTAATTTGAAAAGTATCTCAAAGTGTTCTTCAACGAGTTTACAAATTGAATCATTAAAAAGTAACCTCTAAAATGAAGTCCCTTGGTACCCAGGTCTCAGGTTTAACCTTTACATAAGGTGGGAAAAATAAACTAAAGGAAGACATGGCCTTACCTTCAAATGGCTGTTTCCTTGACATCACTTCCCACATGATAATTGCATAACTGTTTAAAGTATAAAAATATAGAAGGTGTTATTTTAGATTACCAACACTTAATAACACAATGTGCTCAGCTTTATATTTTGTGTAAAACATTTTGGTAAATGGTCCTGTAAACACACATGGGACTGACTGTAGCTAACTACAATGATGGCTGAATATATGAAAACTAACAGGAGTTTTAACCAGTGACTTCAACTAGAACTAGTTAATAATATTAAATACAGAAAAGGTACATATCATATAAACTCCTATTCCAAACTTGTATTAGCTTTCCTCTAGTAATATGTTGTGAATAATGCACATGTAGTTTAAATCTCAGCACATAAACTAAAATGAGTCCCAGAGACCCAACTGCTCTGTCCTAACAGGAACACTGTGGCGTTTCCCCAGTCCAGATTGACACTCCCTGACATTCCTGAGGGAAGCTGGGTGTTAGCAGGGAGGATGGCTTTGACGCACACCTAAGGTATGAACTTCCACTCAGGATGCACACTCCAGCTTCCCCTCCCATATATGCACCTTCAACACATGCAATCTTCTCTGTAGGAAGAGATGTCACTTGCACACAGCACTCAGTTTCCAAAAGCAACTCTTGGGAACACCACTCTGAACTACTGCTAGGACACTGAACACACATCTGCTTATTAAAACTGGTGGCCTTTTCTTTCCATTCACATCAGCATGAAAGGGAAGTGGTTCAGTGAGTACAAGCTTGCTCCACCTTTAGTAGACTAGTCACTCTATTCAGCCATCAGGGTATATTAAAAAAGATAACTTTAAACAACTTTGTAATTTGAACCAGTTTAGATGATTTCATTTCAATGAAGCATTCCATTCCTGGTCCTTTTTTCAGATGCACATCAAAAATTTCATCAAAGCTATCACTACGTTTTATGACACTCTCCAATTTTCTCTTGGCATATTCTACCATATGTGAATGAAGCTCTATTCCATGATTTATCCCGAAAGGTCCTAATACTAATCCTACCATATTACTCAAGTATCTGGTTCCATTACCCAGATTTAGAACAGATAATCCAGGCTAAAGCTTCAGTGCTTTTGTAACTTCAGAATAAATGCGAGGTGCTGACAAGTGTGTAGTTCCATGCTTCCAGGCCAAGTCTTTACAAGCATTATCACAGTGTTGTTCCAGATAATAATCACCATAGTAAATTGCTCTCAAGGCTTGCTCCACACTCTTGGTGTGAATATACTAAGCTACTTTCCTACATCACTAAGAAATACCACATTTTGCATACATGTAACTGCCTTTAAGCATCTGATGGTTACTAATTAAGAAGAATCAAAAAAATTAAGAAAGAAATAACTGGTGCTTAAAATCAATCATATAAATTGAGTTTTCCTAACTACTTATTCTGTTCATATTTTAACATTAATCAGTGATAAAATTTATTCATGTAATTTTTAATAAAAGCAGTCCTCCCTATCAGAAAGTCTGCTTTTTGATGCATTCCTGATAAATTTATGCAGGCTGATTTTTTTGTCCCTTTCGTAAGAGTTAATGCTGCTTGACTGTTGTTTAAATGATTTCTTTCTTTAAGAAAGATCCTTCCTCACAAATTAGCTTAAATATCTCAACAACATTCAGCTGTGGTCAACTAGACATCCAGCCTTTCACTCAGTTTGGAATCTCTCTACAATTCAAGATTATTTTCTCAGTTCTACAACACTGAAGCATTCCCCTTTACACTGTTCCTGTTTTTCTTTCTTATTTCTGCTTTATAGAATCTCCTTCTGATAGTGACCTGTATTCAGTTTGCATAGCCAGGTTTTGGTAGTTGGGGGGATGCAGGGGTGGCTTCTGTGAGAAGCTGCCAGAAGCTTCCTCCGTGTCTGGCAGAGACAAAGCCAGACTGCTCCAGGACAGACCCGCCACTGGACAAGGCTGACCCCATCAGGAATGACAGTAACACCTCCGTGATAACATATTTAAGAAGGAAAAAAAGTTACTGCACAGATGAAATTGCAGCCAGAGAAGAGTGGAGTGAGAATATGTGAACAACAATGCAGACACCAAGGTCAGTGCAGCAGGAGGGGCAGGAGGTGCTCCAGGCACAGGAGCTGAGGTTCCCCTGCAGCCCGTGGTGCAGGACCTGAGGTTCCCCTGCAGCCCGTGGTGCAGCCCATGGTGGAGCAGCTGTGCCCCTGCAGCCCATGGAGGACCATCGGGGTGCAGAGACCCACCTGCAGCCCATGGTGGAGACCCACTCCAGAGCAGGTGGATGCCCAAAGGAGGCTGTGACCCCATGGGAGGCCCATGCTGGACCAGGGTCCTGGCATGAATCTGCTGACCCGTGGGGAGAGGAACCAATGCTGGAGCAGGTTTTCCTGGTAGGGCTTAGGGCCCTGTGGGGGACCCACACTGGTGCAGCCTGTGTCTGAAGGACTGCACCCCATGGAGAAGTGACCCACGTGGCAGCAGTTTGTGAAGAACAGTCTCCCATGGGAGGAACCCCACGGGGAGCAAGGGAAGGACAACTCTCTCCGAGCAGCAGCAGGAACAACCTGTTATGAACTGACCATAGCCCCCATTCCCCGTCTCCCTGCGCCGCCGGGGGGGAGGAGGTAGAACTTGGAAAGGAGGCTGGGGAAGGGAGGAAGGTGTTTTAAAGATTTATTTTACTTCTCATTATCCTGCTGTGATTTTGTTAGTAATAAATTTAATTAATATCCCCACTATGAGTCTGTTTTGCCCGTGATGGTATTTGATGAGTGATCTCTCCTGGTCCTTATCTCCACTCATGAACTCCTAGTTACATTTTCTCTTCTCTGCCCAGTTGCATAGAGGAGTGAGAGTGCTTTTGGTGGGTGCCTGGCATCTAGCCAGGGCCAACCCACTACATGAGCACAGATCTTCCTGTGTGGCCTTTCTGGAGGTCCTTCACTGTCTCTCCACCTTCATGTCTTCCTGCATGAACTTCCTTCTTTCTGATGTTGTCTCAGTTTCTTTTCTTTCTTCTCACACAGTTTCTTTCCTTCCTAATTAATCAGTTTTCTATGCCCTTCTGCTGATGTGTTCTCTCTTATTTTCTCCCATTTGGTTGTTATTCCTCTGCACATATTTTTTTCCTAACATCATCTGTCTTCCTAATCTCCACTCACTCATTAAGACACAAGTCATACTTTTTTTTCCTATAAGATATAATTTTTCCTTTTTCAGTGTTTTTCTACTGTGTATTTTCTCATCAAAGGGTGAGGAGAGCAGGTATGTTGCCATCTGTATTTTTTGGACAGGAACATCAAGAAACTTCATGTGCCCCTTAAGGGTAAGGGATAATTAAGATAAATAGCAGTCTCCCTATAAGTCACTAAGACTCTCTTGAGAACGGTCATCTCTCACCAAGATACAATCCTATCAAAGATTGCAGCAGAGAGATGGACTTTGTCACAGTGATTGGCCTCTTTATGCCTCCTCGATCTCCATTTACATGACAACTCCCCCCCAAATCCTTCAAGTAATCTTTGAGCTCTCCAAACCATTTCAGACTATTTAACTGTAATTCTAATATCCTCAGAGCAATTGTGTTATAAGGGCCACCACCATGCTCCTTACTATTCTATTACTTCTACTCAGAACTGACCAATGCAAAACTACCTGAACTTTCATAAAGTAAGTTATTCCTTGAGTAGATCCTTCTAAATATTTCCTCCAACCCCACTAACCTGTTTTTACCTACTCCCTTTCCAAAAACATGTTTTCTTCTTTCCCCTGAGTGCATTCTGCAAATTATGTTAATTGATCTGCACAGATTACAAGAGTATGTGCATTGACTTAATGGTGTGAATAGCTTTTTTCTTTCCCTACATTGTCTGTATGTGTACACTCATTTACAGAAACCAATCTCCTCTACCCGCTTCTGTAGTCCCAGCTTAATTTCTGAAGCATTACACTTGTCACGGTGACAAGAAATGAGTCACTCAATTTTTATTTTTTATTTTCCAATTCATTTTGCCTATACAAATATGATACTACTACTACTGAAAATAATAAAATTGCTGAGAATATGTTAAAAATCTAGGTTCAGAAAATCAAATCTGAATTCAAATTTCAAAGCGCACTTGAGAACATGAGTTACCTGTAGATATCGTGTTTCACACTTGCCCGGCTTTTCTGACTGGGGTTGTAGTCTTCAGGTGGCATGTAGATAATTGTCCCTCCTTCTGGCAAAGAGGATTCACTTCGTGATTGTGACATGGATATGACACGCCACTTGGACATGCCAAAATCTGCAATCTGGAAAGGCCAAATCAGTTGTTTGTAGAAGAAAAACTGGATTTATCTGTTGACAGTTGTTAAAAATTCTTGAAGTATGCTCGGAAGAAGGGGTCACCCAAAGTCCTTAACCTGACATACAAAGAATACGTGGTTCCTCTAGCAACAGGAAACATCAACTCCACTTCATAAAGCATTCCCAGATCATGACTCACGCTATCCCTCTAGCACTGCTCTATGCTGTTCTTTTAAGGAAGAACTCATATACTCTATGGCTGGGGAATCTGCTATAGAAATCTGTACCTTATGACAAAAATCACTTTCTTGTGTTGAAAAAAAGCAAATAAAAATCACTGATTACTTCTAGCTCCCCGGTTATGAAGAAATCACAAGTTTAGTATAAATCATCATAGCTCTACGTAACTTAGCTTGCCAATATGCCGAGGCAGTTCCTCTCTCAGAAAAATTTTAGGGCACTTCATCTCACTCACAAAACTGTGATATATTAATCCTGAATTAATAAATTTGATATTCTGAAATTCTGTTCTGCAAAAAGCTGCTGAATATTTTCTTTACTGTGCAACTTGGAGCCTGGTCCCTTTCTACAGGTTACAGTACATCTACATAAAGAATTAACTGACTTCAGATTACATCCTCAGACATCCATGACCCAGCATGGATGTCATCAGGCTAAGTTATGGATAGGGACACAAACAGCCAGCAAAATACACCTGCTGGCTGAGCTGTAGAGTGCCTGGCATTCAAGGGAGAAAGACAAACAGCCAGCTACGAGCACTGCACTTGGCCAGCGTTTGTGTAAGAGCAAAATCATTTTCCAGGAAGATGCCTGTGCAAGCACTGTGGCAGCTAAAATATCAAAAACAAGCTTTCTGAAGAGTGTACGGTCAAAATATCCAATGAAAAGTAACCTTTTTTCTCTACAACTCACTCTCATCAAGCTTTCCTCACTGTAATTTGTCTTAATTCTTGCTTATTCAATAGATCAGGGACAGTCAGTAGCGCTTAGTGGTGTTACTTTTATACATACGCAATACTTCTTCTATTTAGCATAGGTGATAACCTTCCTTGCGTTTCCTGTCAGCTCTCCTAATTCTAGAGAATCTAGCTTTACCTCTAAAAGACACTTAGAACCCTAAGACACTCCTTACAGGAGGCAGGGCAAGTGTGCAAGAGTTAAGCTATTCCTTTCAATTGCTCCAGCAAAACGATTGTTCAGATGCACTCAGTCAGAGCACCAAACCACACCAGTGCTGTTAGGGATTAAAAATGGAGTGGACAAAAAAATTACTTGGGCTAGTCCCCTGATCAGGTTTATCAGGAAGCCCGAGAAATGGCAATACCAGCCCAACCGAGTGGGAGGAGGTATGACCTGCTGAGGGTGTGAGCAGAGACAAAGCCGTGTGAGGCACACTGCGGCCGAGAAAAATTTCTGTGCAACAGAAAAAAGAAAGCAGCACTGAATCTTTGCTCGAAGGACTCACAGAGATTCGTCTCATGGTAAAAACTGAAACATTCACCATTCAAGTATAAGTTCAGTGCAAAATAGCTCTTCCATTTACTTGAATAATATATTCTATCAATTATAAAAATAAAGGATCTTTAAAAAAAAAACAAACGAGAAGCAACACACCCAACTCTTGCAGTTATGGAAGCACCTAACCATTTTGTCAGAAGTACTTTTAGTCTTTCTTTCACATCATGGCAGTGATATTTCAAAAGGCAGAATTAAAGTTTTAAACTACTGTTACTTCTCTGTGTATCTTTGCTTGTTCTCAGAAGTGTCACAAAAGCCATCTTCCAACATGTCCCGATTTCACAGTTATGTTTTACATGTTCTTATACTGAACTAAGAGAACAGATAAGTATATATTGCATGATAAATATCCAGTGGGGTATTAACATTTGAATTTGACCTACTGTCTTCCAAAAGTAACTTGTCTGAGCATCTCAGACAGGTACACTCTCTATTTTCTTCTCGGAAAGGGCCAGATGTAGCTACCCTTGGAAGGCTGACACACAAGAACATCACTACTACTGAGTATCATCCACTGCTATAGCAGAAACAGCCCAAATTCTGTCCTTCTAGTCTTTTCAGATGGATATAATCTACACTTGAGCAATGCAGTTTTCAAAAAGAAAAACTCAGAAGTTCTGTCTGCAAGGACAGAAGAAAAAGTCCAGCATACAATTACATCCTCTCTGTATGGCCACAACCTCACTCTTCCTCCTCTAAATCAATTAAAACACTTTCACTCAGTCTAGACACTGAAGAACATAAGAATTAAATAACTCTACCTTGACATGAAACTCATCATCCAGCAAAATGTTCTGGGTTTTTAAGTCATGGTGCAGCAGTGGAGGATTCATGTTGTGCAAATAGTTTACTCCCAAAGCAATTTCGTAAAGAGCGCGGAATCTCAGGCACCAGGGAATGTCAGGATATATGTCTTTCTGCCAAGATAAAACCACAGACCTGGAATATAATCCTCTGTTTTGATCTAACAGCACAATACAAAGGCTTATTTTAGAAGAAAAAAAAAGTGACTTGGGCAAGCAGCAACCTTTTTAAAACATACATTACACAAACTCCTTAAAAAACTGTAATGGAGCATTAAGACTGATTAGTTGTTAAAACAAATGCACAAATCATGCATAAATAACGCTGCATAAAAGTGTTATGTTTCCATCCCCTGGCATTCCCATAATAGTTCATGACTGCTATACATGATATAGAGCATTTTACTACATTACTCATTCACGTGGAAATATGAATTACAGATGAACTTCTGCATGAAACTTGCAAACCACAGATTATGAGTACTACACAAAGGCGGTCAAGAATCATATCTTCAACTGACACTGGGGGAAAAAAAAAGCTGTGGTGAAACTAAGCACAAAATATTACCTTTATAAATATTAATACACCTAGAAAAAGGTAGTAAAACTCAACTGAAATCTTAAAATTTATATTGACAGTAATGCCTCTATGAAAAACCCACAGATGAGTTCTCTAATGCATGAGATTGTATTGATTAAAGGTATAAAAGAGGTGCTGTTGAGACAACTGCAGGAGCTTTACAGTAGCAACACTGTATATTCAGGCCAAGCTAATGAGAGCAGCTGAGAGTTCAACATAGGAGAACTTAGAGAATAAGATCTGGTAGAAATATCCATAAATGTTTAGATCAGCAACATTTGGCTTCTATAAACTAAAGTCAAAATCTTCAATTTATTTTTTAGAAATACCCAAATTTGGGAAAAAACCCTCAATATTTATATCGGCAGTAATTCTGAAACCCAGGCTGAAGTACACATAAGTATTTCAGCATCTAACTAGAGAACAATGGAGATTTTTAAAGTGACTCTACATAATAATTCAACATAAAGTTAGTAATAGGTCACAACATTAAAGGAAAAAGTTCAATAAAACTTAAGTCTACTGAGTTAGGTTGTCTTTTTGAGATACAGAAAAGTCTATCAGAACACCAAAAACTACTAATGATAATTACTGTCTTTCAATGTGAAATATTATTCATAATACACTTTACTATACTAATTAAGTATGGAAATTGCAATTTATTTGAAGCAGCCAGGTATCTATTTAAAGACTGTAAGTATACTTACCCCATGTAATAGCTGGTTTAATGATCCATTTGTCATGTATTCTGTTACTATCCCCAGAAATTCAGGCTCGTTGCAAATTCCCAAAATTGGCAGAATGTAACTAAATCTGGCTTTGTGTAATATCTCTGCTTCTTTTAGAAGGTGATTTCTATCACTTGAAGAAAACAAGCAAACAAACAAAAAACATTACCATACCAATAGTAGAAGACTCAAAGCAAAGGTTGCGTTCACTATATTCTCTGTCAATTATATCCCTGTGTGCAGCACCACCACCTTTCACCATTTGATTTCTATCATGCTGTTTTGATAACAAAACAGCATAAGATAAATTAGAATCTGCAAATGCAAAGACAAGACAGCTTCCCCGGTTTTGTTGTACCACACAAATCTCTCTATTTCCATCACACATTTCATCGTGTTTCCAGTAAACAAGGATACAGTCAGAACTCCCAACTTCCACCATTCTTTGCAACCATGATGGCAATAACCAGCCACATTTGTTCTATTTTACCTCAGAACTCCTCAAAAACTTGGATTTAACGCGTCTTTACAAATTCAGACCTTGCAGCATGTGGATTCGAGAAGCTCAAGTTTTATTTGTGTATGCTTCTATCCCTAAAAATATTAACTCTTTGGTATGCCTTATATCTCAAATAGTCTTGAAAAAAATGGGTTTGTTGACAATGAGGATATCTGGGCCATGAAGGATAATTCTGAGAAAAAAGATTTAGATCTCACACCAGCAGAGACTGGTACAGGTAGAAGTACCTGCCCAGAATATCCAAATACAGGACATTTACAGCACATTTAAAACTGATCCTTTGGACATTAACCAGTCTGACTCAGAAGCAATAGGGCTGTGCTGGGGCACAGCAGTGTACAAGCCAGGGCTATGCCCATCACGATTTGTTCAGCACAGCTCCCTGTTAATGTGGCTGCACAGCTCCCGGGCGAGAGCCACTTGTGTCCATTGAGCTCAGGGCAGTCTGGACCCACAGATGTGGATCCAGCCCTAACAAGGAAAAGGCTGTCAGGGTATACGGGGAAAAGAGGAAGCCTGGAGAACTAAAGCCTGCTGCTTTTACAATAGGAAAACTTTGACTTTAGATGGATGTGAAATCGAGGTCCTTATCTATGTGACAGAAAAAGACTTTTATTATAGGAAACTCTAGGAACGCAGCCATTGAGAAAAACATGGGAGAAAACACACAACTATATCCCTTCCTCCCTCTCTCCAGAAAAGACTAGGTTTGAAGGAAACTAGGGGTTTTCCCAGACACATTTGCATGGGATTCAGCTGTAGCTGGGAAACAAATTGCAACATACCAAAGTCTATTCCTGGGTCTGTAAGTCACTTCACCTTTGTCTGCTCCATACCAGAAGGGCACTGAGCAATGCCTAAATGAGTACATGCCCACAACAGCTTCCCAGCTGGCTTTGCTCTTTGGCTGGTCACACACCATATTCTGGAATGCATAGGACATGCATAGGACATGGTGCATTAACTGCACCATGAATTCTTCCTCAAAGCACTTACAGGCTGGAATTTTATACTATACAACCAACAAATCACTGGCTGCAGAGACTCAGGTAAAACATATTTCTTACAGCTTTCAGTCTTCTAATAGCATTTTGGAGCTTTGCATGATATATGGTAGGTGACTGAATTATTTTGATTACCTTGCTTTCCCTTTTCATCATAATTTCATAGGTAAGATGTCACACTAATCCAAACTCTTGCAAGGCCAAAAACAACATTTGATGTTTTTCCCCAGCTGAGTTCTGAGGATAAACACTGTATTCCTGATTAGCAGGGATTTAAGCAGACATTTAAATTAAAAAAACCCAAAAAACAAAACCTCAAAAACCACAACGCCCCTTCCTCCCCCAGAGAACGCAACGTAACTGAGATTTCAGGCAAGATTTCAGAGATAAAGCCCGTGTATATGTACCTGTGTAATAAGAGGCAAAAGAGTTTGAAACAACTTGTCATAATCTAGTATATTGGGTTACAAGACTAGCAGTCTTTTTGAGCGAAGCTACCCTGCCTAAAGGCATAGTACTAGATCAGAGAAACCTGAGGTAATAAAGCTGGAAGATACCGAGATAAGACTCAAGAGGCAGGTTTGCAGTCAGGCAGGCTTCAGACAGCCTAGAAGAGGCAAATTTGCATTGATATAGTAAAATCCTGGCACTATAGGGATTGAATGAGACAGAGATGGATGAAAAATTATAACTTGCTGCCCCCTTACATGGAGTGACAGCTCCTGCAATAAACATGCTGCTGTTTGGGTCCCTGGAAATTGGGGAATATGACTGCAACACTGAAAATATCAGTTGTACATGGGGGCATACAAGCCTATTATTTTAAATCAGCTTCTCTCAGCACTGTGAGATCTGGGGGGAAAATAATAATTGTGCATTGTGTCAGAGAAGTTTCTTCTAGGAGCTAGAAGCAATCTTTAGTGCATATTCCCTATATCCTCTATATTCTTTCTCTCTCTGTAAACTACAAATCTATTAGTAATCACTGTACTTTAACACCCTCCTGATACTTCAACAAAACGGTCAGTAACCAACAGGCCCAGAAAGAAGCCAAACTGTGCCAATCCCACCTTGAGGAGGAATCAAGGCGCACACTGCATAATAAAAAGCCTCCAAAAGAAACAACCTAATTAGAGTCCCGCTGATCGAGACCGAAACCACCCATTTCCGACAATCGAAAGAGAGGAAGCTCCGGGGCTGGTACGTGCTTTCTCGTGGCTCAAGCCGATTCACTCTTCCTGGGAACCCCCTTCACAGGGATTTAATGCAACGCTGCCTACCAGAACACCAGGACTGATTCACCGACCTGAGAATCCCACGCCGGCATCTTCGCCGACACCTCGACTCCTTTCTGGCTTCGTGGGCCCCCTTGCTTAGTTTAGGGAAAGGTGGGCTCAGCTCGGTCCTTGCCCCCGGGCCGCCCCCCAGCGAAGCCCCATCCCGGCGGTCCCCTCCCCACCCCGTTACCTGTCTAGCAGCGGCCCCTGCAGGCATTTGAGGGCCACTGGGACCCTCCAGTCGGCGTGGCGGGCGGCGGACACGGTCCCGTAAGCGCCGCGGCTGATGAAACGCAAGTCCGGGAGTTTGTTGGAGGGGATGGAGGGAAGAGCGTAGCTGATGGCGCCCGCCCGGCCCTCACCGCCGTCCCCGCCGCTCATCCTCCCACTCCACCGGGCCCCGGAGAGCAAGGAGCGCCGCTCCTTCCTCTCCCCTCACTCCGCTTCCCCGCCTCTCCCCACACCTCCCCGGCCAGCCTCCTCCCCAGTGTGCCGGCGATCCTCTCCTCCTTCTGCCCCACGGAGGAGCCACTTCCCTTCCGCACGGAAAGGGCCTCCCGCGGTTCCCGCGTCGGTGGGAGGAGCGAGCTGAGGGAGCGCGGAGCCGGTCCACGCTGACCCCAGGGAGAGCGGCGCCAGGCCGGAGTCTCCTTCTTCGGGGAGCCAGGTACCGGGAGTCATCCCTCGGCCATGGATGGAACATCCCCCCACCCCACCGGGGGGCAGTACTCAGGCTGGAGAGGGGGAGAGAGGGAAGCATCCCCCTCTGTCCGGGAGGGCGGCGAGGGACGTGTTAGTTCTGTTTCTGAAAGATGATGCAGGATGCCAGAGCCGAACGCAGATCGCCGCGGTGATTCGTTCACTCCATACAATCATAGAATGGTTTGAGTTGGAAGGCACCTTAAAGATCATCCAGTTCCAACTCCCTTGCCATGGGCAGGGAACCTTCCACTGGACCAGGTTGCTCAGTGCCCCATCCCAGATATATTCACTGCTCAGGTGAAGTGAGAAGAGCGTTATCTCACGCACTTGCTTATCTCCTGTCTGTACTAGGAAGACTTTTAAGGATAGCGGCATTTCAAAAAGGTAATTTCGAAATTTCCAGTAAGTGCGAGTTCACCCTTGCCCCTGCTCAAGGCAAGCTGCCTGATACACTGAGGTGTTTATGAGAGCTTTACATGAGGGTTGCGCAGGAAGGTTTCGTAAGGCCTGTTCACCAAGTCAAGTTCTCACAGACTAACAAAATGCTTTAATTTAGAAGTCTGTAGCTTTCCACAAGGAGTGACAGTTCCACATGATGAAAGAGAGGTAAACAGCAAATCACCTTTCCATGTGTGTGGATCAGGGCCTAAGCACCTGTGGCTTTTCACCTCTCCTCTTTTCTCCCAGTAATGGCGAGACATATGGATTGGTTAGAATGAGGGAAAGGAGCTAAGTTTTCAGACTACGATATTGTTCAATATTTCACAGCATTCATTTTAAGGCATGGCAACTATTTTTCCATTCTGTCTAGGTCCTAGTACTTTAGTAGCTTTGCTGTTTTTCCAATTTTCTTGTATCTTGGATGACTTATATCCTCCAAATGCTGCAGCATTATGAACATACTGAGGAACCATATAAAGCAAGCGGTGACTTACTCTACTTTCAGTTTTCACTTAGCCTGTGTCCTTTAGATCCACTAGGTGGTTTCCCAGAATTGTAATTTTGAGGCAATATTTGCAATATGCAGTTTTTGGGTATATGTTTATGCATATCCCTCTCTGTATTTATCATGTTGGTAGTACTATTTGTCATACCATTTCAGCTTTGATATATAAGAAGGATTTTGTTTCCTAAAGAAAATATTATGCAACGGACAATTACTGTGAGCATACACTACAAAACCAATGTGTAAATACATGCTTATGATATTTCCCATTAAGATATTATGTCACTATACTAAAAAATTATTTGCACCTTATTGCCATGTGCTGTGTTGATTTAATGTATATTATATAGTTTTAAGTATAGTAACTTAAACCCCAAGGAAGTTATTGTGGTTCTAAAACGTGGATGTAGAGGCAGCAATGTTGGTGCAGTGCCATGCTTCCCTTGGCATGCAGTGTTCCTGGAACTGTAGGTGTTGTGACTCCCTAAGCCCTATCCCTAACAGCAGTTTGGTGGCAAGGCTGAGGTCCTAAAGTAGATCAAACTTTTGATAAAACAGAAGTTTTTGTTAAATACTGTTTCTAAATGATGGAAACAGTATTGAGATCATGTGACAGATAAATAGCTGCCTCTTGGTTTCTTCTTTGAATTCTTAACTTGTGAGATTTCCCACACAGTCCTTTTCATTCTTGTTAAGAAGTCTTTGGTCTGACTCTTCCTTTCACAGGAGAATTCTCTGAAGATCTCCACTGATAATGAGATAAGCAAAGGTCCACAGCAAAGAGGATACTTTTCGTGTGTGTAGTATTCCTAGTGGTTTGATAGGGTTGTAATGAATGGTTCAGAAAGTGTGACAGCTACGTCAGTGAGCTTAGTCTTCAGCTTGCGAAATCTAGGAGGGCGGCTACTATGTGATCAGTATATGATGATACAGACTTGTAAAATGCTTTTCTTTCCTTGTATCTCTTTAAAAGATCAAATAAAATAACAACTGAAATGAAACACATTTTCCAGACTGAGGTGGTATTTGCTTTCTGAGATTCTTCCCTGTGGGCAGTATAAGCTGGAAAGGGCTTTTATATTTCTGCTGTAAACAGGTATTCACACAGGTGTTTAGAAGCTATGACTGTGTGTTGGGATCCAGGATGGATCTCAGTCTGGATGTGTCACCTAGCTGTGACCAATTTGGAAAAGACCTGGGAAGAGAGCTACCTGTGTATCATCTTCTTCCACCTCATATTCTTCCACCTCAGCTGCCTTGCCTTCTGGTGCTGTGCTTCCCATACAAAGTGACACAATATTCAGAGAGGACAGATACTAAAGCTCCCATGAAACAGTGGCACCTCTGCTGTGATGATCAGCATCTGTCCTGCCTCATTTTTCAGACTACTTTTTTTTTTCTTCTTCTTTTTGGTGATATTTACAGGTATTTTGCAAGTAGGATCCTATTTATGACATAATTTAAAATAACAGGCCCAGCAAGATGGAATTATTATCTTGCCCATAAAATTTGGGACGATTGTATAACAAGCTGTCATATTTTTAGCAAAGTAGTAAAAAAAATGGTAAGTGATTAAAATCAAGTAGCAAAAGTGGTTATGTCTCATAAAGATAATTGAACATCTGCTTAAGTCACTAATTTCCTGTGATCATATAACATTTAATATCCATTATCAACATTTACTGGATATGACTACCTTGAGGACAGGGAAATGCTAGTCTTAAATACGCTAATTTGTAATACTTAGATAAACTATATGTGATCATATGAAGCAATATAGAATCATGTCAATAGTCAGAACATGGACTTACATATTTAGTTGTTTTGTATCCCGAACAATTTTACTGTATTTTTACTGTTGGACTTAAACATGACAGACCCTGTTACCTATTAGATATTCTGAAACATTTGGGGAAAAAGCATTATTTTTCTCTCAGCTCTTGATAGTTCTTAAATTTTAGTTGTATCTTTAGAGTTGTATAAAGGATCCTGTTTCAGAAAATGAGTTTTTATTTAGTAAGCACAATGCCTTTGTCTTTGCTTTTTATTTTGTGGATTTTCTTAGCTTTTAAACAAAAAGAGAATGGGTATTTGGTTTATACTAGCCTTTTTGGAAGGAATATTTTGTCTCAATATTTTGTATTATCCATATTGCAGGAATGAAGGAGTTTTGTAGCAACCTCTTCAATTGTGCTTGTTCTTACCAGTGTGAAATCGTTTCCATCCTGATATTTGTCTGAAACAAAACATCAGGTGATTCTGGCTGAGATCCTGTTTTACCTGCTGTCACTCTGATAATGTAATGATACACTTGCTCAGATCTATATCTATTAGAAACCAACACCCTCTGCAATCATGAGTGTAGTCTCCTATCAGCTTTAACAAACTCCTCCTTGTCAGCGTGTGCCGCACACTAGGTGAGCTATTCCTGAACATCTGGATTCTTTTGGAAGTTGTTACCTATAGTTTTAGATATCTGCTGACAGAATTTTTTATTAAGAGATGCACACGAAAGTACTTGTATCCAGCTATTACAACATGTTGACGCTACCCAGCTGACTGAATCAAGGGGCAGAGCTGCTGGGAGCTTTTCTGGCAGTTTGGAGGGAGCGAGGAAGTGCTGGGGGTACGATGCTTCTGAGTCACCTGGGTTTTTATTTCCATGCTGTGCTATTGCCGGTGCACATATGGTGGTGACGTGTCATGAGTATGATGTCAGGATAATGTCTCTGGTGTTCCTTTGAAGATAAATGGCATTTCCTTTCAGCACTAGCAGTTTAACAAAGCCACCCCACACTTGCATAATTTCAATGTTTATTTGCTATTTTCACTGAGCTTCTTCTGTTCTCCTCTTCCTTGTGGGACCCGGGCAACTTAATGAAGCTAGTCCTCTTCCTAGCCACCAGCTTCTCATGAACACAGTGAACCTCTCTGTGTGGAAGTAATGCAGAGGGAAAAGCTCAGCAGAGAAGGAGGAAGGAAATGAGATTTTGAAGGGTTCTTCTTGGACAAAATAACACTGTGGTACTCTTCTGTACCTTTTTCAACATATGCTTACTTGGATTCTCTGGGACCATGTGGAGTCCAGGTTTATCCTAGGTGCTGAATCTAGTAAACATGTGCTGGATCATTTCTTAGCAATAAGGCCAACTAGCACAGGATGACAGTCATCCACCCGAAACAGAGAATCTGTATCAGAAATGCCTGTTATGAATAGTTCCTAGCTTTAATTCCTGAAACATGGAGATTGTTTAGAAGAGTGGTATTTCTCATGAGCCAAAAGGGATTATTCTAATAGAATTCTAATTTCTAGCAGATGAGTGCCAGGCAGGCCTAGGAGCATTCCCTGACACTTCTGACTTTACAAGGGCAGGTAGTATAAGGTATTCAGTGGTCTACTATATTCAGGATTAGGCTATGTTCATTTTTTAGGCTGGGTATTTCCTCAAATTCTTTAGCTTCCCCCTTCACCCTACTTCTAGGTTTTAACCTTTATTTTGGTTTTCTAAAATGTCTAAAATGCTGATGTTCTTGGTGTTTCCCACAAAATTATTTCAGCTGAGAGAAAGCTGAAAAATTTTCTTTCAGCAGTGCATTAGAGCAAAATTTATTTTTCTTCCTTCTTTTTCTCTTCTTAAATTTAAACTGTTTTACAGGTGCAGCAGGTTGATGCAAAGTCAGCAGATTGAGGGAGGTGATTCTCCCCCTCTGCTCTGCTGGGACCCTGCCTGGAGTACTGTGTCCAGCTCTGGGGTCCCCCGCACAGGAAGGACATAAACCTGTTGGAACAAATCCAGAGGAGGGACACCGAGATTATTAGAAGGATGGAGCACCTCTGCTCCGGGTAAAGGTTGAAAGAATTGGAAGTGTTCAGCCTAGAAAAGAGAAAGCTTAGGAGTGACCTAATTGCAGCCTTACAGTACCTAAAAGGAGCCAACAGGAAAGATGTATGAGATGTACAAGAGAATGTAGTGACAGGACGAGGGGGAATGGATTACAACTGAAAGTAGGATTAGATTAGATATTAGGAAAAAAAATCTTTACTGTGAAGGTGGTAAGGCACTGGAACAGGTTGCCCAGAGAAGGTGTGGATGCCCCATCCCTGCAAGTGTTCAAGGCCAGGCTAGATGGAGCTCTAAAAAACCTGGTCTAGATCCAACCCCCATTGCAGGAGGGTTGGAACTAGATGATTTTTACAGCCCCTTCCAACCCAAACCATTCTATAATTCTATGATTCAAAGCACCTCCTAGAATGTCACAAATTTCCTAGGTCTATAATTACAGTTCCCAGAAGTACATAATCTGTTGGATCTCTGTCCTGGAGTTTGAATAGCTACAATTCTTTCCAAATACCTGTCAAGCTATGAATCATGACAGAGTCATAAAGGATAACAACATTCATTACTTAGCTACAAGACTGCAAGGTGAGGTGTAGGTA